CCCGGCCCCTCCCCAAAGGTAACTCCGCGGAGCGGGTGGGGGCTGGAGCGCCCGTCTACATGGCGGCCGTGCTGGAGTACCTGACGGCCGAGATCCTGGAGCTGGCGGGCAACGCGGCCCGCGACAACAAGAAGACGCGCATCATCCCCCGGCACCTGCAGCTGGCCATCCGCAACGACGAGGAGCTCAACAAGCTGCTGGGCAAGGTGACGATCGCGCAGGGCGGGGTGCTGCCCAACATCCAGGCCGTCCTGCTGCCCAAGAAGACTGAGAGTCATAAGGCTAAGAGCAAATAAGCTCAGCCGGCAAAGCCGCTTAGACTTTTCACAATGTAACATTATAACCCAAAGGCTCTTTTCAGAGCCACCCACCCAGTCAGAAAAGAGTTGTGTTGCTTTCTTTACAGAAGTGCTGTGATGCTAAGTGTTTAGTCTGTGCTGTTTCTAGTAAGGGGCTAAAACCATGTTCTGTGGCAATCTCTTAACTTGGTTCCTACCTAAGAGGGGTGATACATTTGCTTTCAAACTCATCTGAACACTAATTATGTTTGTAGTGATTTATTGATTCTTTTGAATCTGTCTTGTAACAGGATCAGTAAACTGCTTGTTCTTAATGTTGAATCTACTCAATTTTCATTACAGGCTGTTTACAATGTGAAATATGGAGGGGTGGCTAAAAGACTTGAGAGGGGAGTGGGAAAATCTATGCAGCATGAAAATAAATAGGAGACAATCCCAAACCTGTTTAACTAGATCTAAGAATGAGAAAAAGGCTGCCTTTGTTCTTTAAAAGATGTAAAGCTTCCCTGTGACTTAACTTTATTTAGAAATGAGATTAGAAATGCTTTAGGGGAAATGGCTCATTTTGATCTAGATCCCTTAGTAGTCAGACCTGTGCTGTACAGCAACTGTAGCATCGTTCCATTCAGAAAAAACTCCGTGCAGTGCTGGTATGTTCCTGGTTTAAGTGGGGTTTTCAGACTTGCCACTCTTAAATTCCTTCACTGTGCATAGCTATTCCTCTTGTTATACCAGTTAACAGCGGGCAATATTATTTGAATCAATCTTCTGCATTGTTGGCACAAGTCTCACCCAAGAGCACAATGTTAAATCTCTTCAGATTCACTGTTATAAATTATGGGAAAGACTGCCTAGCTGACTCCTCTGGCTAGGATGTTCCCTAATGGTCTGCAGCACGCTGCACTGGGGCTGTAGCTCCCACCTGTGCAGCACCTCTGTTCTCCCCATCCCTTGGGGAGAAGAGGAATGCTCTGGGCCTAGAGGAAGGAAAATACTACCTATAACAAGGTAGGTACTACCCCCTGTGTCCTCCCCACTCATAAGCTGTAGCAGAGAGGCTTTTTTGGTAGGACTGTATCATGGCCAAAGTGAGACATCCGGGATCATTTGTGGAGAGAAATGTAAAGGAAGAGAGATACCTGGAGCACCAGACTGGTCTGATATGGTGACAGTATCTGTGCCTGAGGGTTTTGTTTGCAAGTGGATGCATTCAGAGCTGTAATATTTTCATTATGCTGTTTTAGTGATCCTCATTAGCTGCAGCTACATATCTCCTAGCACTTTTACTTCTCTTGAAGAACTGCAATGATATAAAAACTGTTTCAACATGCACAAGTCTTCTATATTTAGTTTCCAGAACAGATCCCTGCATACGTGTGTGTCAGAAGACAGAAATCCTAGAATGGGTTGGGTTGGAAGGGACCATCAAAGATCATCTAGTCCAAACCCCTGCTGTGGCCAGAGACACCTTCCACTAGATCAGGTTGCTCAAAGCCCCATCCAGCCTGATTTTGAACACTTTCAAGGATGGGGCATCCACTTCTCTGGGCAAGCTGGTCCATTGTCCCACCACCCTCACTGCAAAAAATTTCTTCCTCATATCCAATCTAAATACACCCTCTTTCACTTAAAACCATTGCCTGTTGTCCTGTCACCTGTGTCTCTACCTGCCTTGGTCTTTCTATACCGAAAGGCTGCAATATGGTGTCTGCAGATCCTGTTCTTCCCCAGGCTGAACAACCCCAATTTTATCAGTTCTTCACAGAATAGGTGTTCCAGCCCTCTGATCATTTTCATGGCCCTCCTCTGGACCTGCTCTAACAGGTCCATGTCTTCCTGGTGCTGGGGACCCCAGAGCTGGATGCAGTGCTCCAGGTGGGGTTTCATGAGAGCAGAGTAGAAGGGAAAATCGTCTCCCTCAACCTGCTGGCCACACTGCTTTTGATGCAGCCCAGGATATGACGGGCTTTCTGGGCAGTGATGGTGCATCTCTAATTCAAAGCACTGGAATTCTAGAGAAACCCCATGGGAGTGGGGCTATCTGTATCCAGGAGTGGGATTCCTTTGTGAGAAAACTCTGATGTGGAAATCAGAGTTGGTACCACAGGAAATAGCCCTGCCATTTGCTGAGTGAGGAGGTAAATCCAGCACACCTCTCCAAATTCTTATCTGACCAGAAATTCATTATTTCTTTCATTCCAAACACCTCTTATTTCACTCACTACTTGGTTCACCTCAGGAACTGGAGTTCCACCCTCTGTGATACTTAGGTCCACTTCTCAGCATTCCCTGTTTTTGTTCTTGGCCACTAGTGGCTGTACCAGTTGAGAACCCTGTGCTGCCATCTCACTGATGAGGCCTCAGATGTAAATGTCCTCTAAGTCAGATGGATTATATGATAAGAGTGCTGGCAAATCTACTGATATTAAAGACTTGTGGCTTTCAAGCAAATTCCACTGGATGAAGGAACATCGCAAAGCAAGTTTAAATAAATGAGCTTTCTCTCATTTGTATATACAACAAAGAGTAGTACAGAGGACATCCGTACTATATGGTGCCTTGCTGTATCACTGGGTTCCAATGCATCTTCACTTTCTAAAGCACTTGTGATGCAAAAAGTCACTGCAATCAAGCTCCCTCAAATGTTATAGATCACAGCTATGTTTAGGGATAACTCACTAATGTCAGTCTATACATCAAAATTCTTAAATTGCATTGTTAAAAAGTAAGATGAAAGTAATTTCTATCCCTTTTCACCTTTACTTTGTAATGTTAGGAATAATGTGCTCTATTAAAAAGATCCCTACATTACTCTAGTTTTTATAATAATAATAATTATCATTATTATTACTTTTGTAGCATATACAGGTATGGATTGCGATTGCCACATAAGCTCTCAAGAAAATTGAGAGCAACGCTGCAGTTTTATATCATACACTGATGTGATTATTTTTTTACTAACTATATACTTTCTTGCGCAGTCGTGGTGAGATGTTGCCTTGTTGCAACAAACAGATGCAATTTCCTCATAGTTTATTGAGGAACTGGGGTGACTGTCCTAATTAAAACACACTTGAAAAACTACAGATTTTTTTTTTTGTTAATGGAGCAGAGTTTTGCAAAGGTCTCCTTTCTCATTTAACTCTAGTACTATGTGTCCAAACTCATGAGCAAAATGCAGTGCCTATAATCTGGGGATTGTATCCTAAACTTTGATCCAAAAAATAATCAGTCTCCAGTCAACAGTAAAAGCAACTTTATTAGGGATTATACTCAGCAGCAAAATTTTCTTTCCGCTTTAATTATTTTTGTCTCAGAAAACCCTCTGAGCTGACTATGTCACTAACAGAAACAAACACTCGGGAAACATGCCTGTGGCCACTTGTAGCACCTACACGCAAGGTAGACTTCTAGAAAGCACGATATTATACTCTATCAAATGCATTCCATGCTTTGGGGAAAGGGGTTTGCAGCTAATTAATCTGTAAGCTACTGGTTTCGGCCTCTCCATCACCCATTTCTGCCAGGATACTTTGGAAGATGATTTTCCAACTCTTCCAGTGGTATAGTGCTAGATGCAAAAGTTACACGAGGATACTCACCTTGCACTTAGGAATAGTTAGGAAGAAATGATGATTTTGACACAGTAAAAGATTTCATGTAATGGCTTTAGGTTTCCCCTAGTATCCAGAATGGTTGTTTATAATTGCCTCAGGAAACATATCTAGACACAGATCTTCAGGTATAAAAAACAAAGCAGACTTTGTGGAGCCAAACAGTAATGTTAGGCACCAGCCCTGCAGGTCCACTGGTGACAAACCTTCCAGTCAGTCTATAAACAGTTTTAGTTCATCCTGTTCAGTCAAAAAGTGAACATAACCTAAATTAAACCTAGTTTCGCCTGCTCATGTCATGTGTATTTAAGTGGCAAATATTTTACTTTAATTTGTTTAAAATAAGAGTTTGAATGAAAATGGAATTCACAGTGATAATTATAATCATAGAAAAGACTTGTATTTTGTTTGACACCTGTACCAAAATACATTAATATCTCAATCATATTTTTCCCTGAATTTACGGAATATATTCTGCCAAGAAAAATTCTGGAGAGGTTGCTTAGATTCTGTAAGTTATGTTCAGCAACGAGATTATGTAAACAACTGCACAGATTTAAAAGGATATCAATAATTTTTAAAAGGTAGACGTGTTTGAAGTGCACAAAATACTAATAATATAACAATTGGCAAGTACCATCGACATATCACTGCTGTTCTGAGCGTCTAAGTAACATTTAAAATCTCAGCACATTTAACTTTAAAAATATAGCCTCATAGTTTTTTCAGTATTTATTAATCCACTTTACAGACACAGCCCAACCTACTGTAACAAGCATATACATCAGGTTTGTTAGCAAAAGTGTGAAATACACAGCAAAACCTCTGGATTGCTCATTTGAAAAAAAAAATATTTGGTTATTGTTCATTTTTGAGATTTCATACAGACATCTGGTTGGTAACGCCTTTAAGTGTTTTCTTTCGCCTGCTGGACCCAGGTCTACCTTAGGCGAGCACTTCGCTTAATTCAGAGGCCGGCAGCTGCCGGGAGCAAACCCGGCGCCCCGCGGCCAACGCTGCCCAGGGGACC